AATGGAAAAAAGCCCACTTTACAGCCCGCCATAGCCCAAGAAATGGATGATGAGCTTGACGGAGAAGAAAACCGGGTTGTTCGAATTTTCCAGGTACTCAAATTCATGGCCTTTCTTTGCATTTAGTTTGAAGAAGAAGAAGAAAAAGAAAAAAAAAGATTGAATTTTTCCTGTTATTTTCTGAAAATTGGAGAGGCCCTTTTAGTTATATTGCAATGTAAGGTGAATGGGAGCTTATATTATTCATGAAGTTGATAGCTTGACTTCGATGAAATCGAGTTGTGTGAACCAGAAAGCCCACTTGATAATATTGAAAATTAAGTACTGGATGATGCAATGGCTTCTCTGTGTAGTGCATTTAGTAATTGATTGTTAAAATTGGTTAAAATACTCAGTTTTTTGTCAAACTTGTAGGAAAATTTGTCCTCTGTGGTTTTTATCAAGGACATTGAGTTAGCTAAAGTCCCAAAGAGCACTTCCCAAAATGGTGTAGCTGATGAGGAGAATGCAAGAGTGGAAGGAACAGGTTCCGGCTTTATCTGGGACGATTTTGGTCATATCGTAGGTTCTTTATTTTATCTTTCGTTTCTTTTGTTTTTCCCTTAACGAATATTGTAACTCTATATGCATAATTTACAACATAATGAATATAGTGAATTGTTTCTTCTTATAACAGGTAACTAACTACCATGTGGTTTCTAAATTGGCAACGGATAGAAGTGGCTTACAACTCTGTAAGGTTCCGTTTTTCTGTATTTTTCTTGCTGACCTCTCGTAATATTGTATTAGCTTATCTTGATGGGAATTTTACAGTTTTCTCTTAATGTCTTTCATATTTTATCGATTTGTTACGAAATTGATGTCTTGTTTGTTACTCGGCATGCCTTTCCAGGTATCTTTAGTGGATTCTAGAGGCAACAACATCACTAGAGAAGGCAAAATAGTTGGTTTTGATCCGGATTATGACCTAGCAATTCTTAAGGTGTTTTATTAGCAATCGAGGGTGAAAAATTATTTTGTTTGAAAAATTTTCCCTTTCTTGCATTATGTTCATCTTCCTTCTGTTTGAAATCTTAAACTAGTTTGGTAAGCCATTTGTTGTTGATTAAGGTTATGTTTGGTAAAACTAGCTGATAGCTGATAAGCTGACTTATATCTTATGATTTTATACATGGAAAGCTAGCTTATATGATAAAAATGTTTGGTAGAATTAGCTGATAAACTAAAGCTAGCTGAAATAAAAATTTCAACGAGCTTATTTGAAAAGCTACCCAAATAAGCTTATCTTGAATTTTTTTAAGAAAGCCCGTCCTACCAAACGAAGTTTATTTGAATACATGAAGCTTATAAGTTAACCATATAAATTATATGCTAGCTTATTTGGTTACCAAACATAGTCTAAAAATTTGCTTCTAGTCAGTCAGTGTAATGTGTTCGCTAAATTATCGACTTCATATGGAAGGTCAATGCCGAAAGAAATGAGTTCAAGCCAGTGACAATCGGCACATCTCGTGACTTACGAGTGGGTCAAAGTTGTTTTGCTATTGGGAATCCATATGGATATGAAAACACTTTAACCGCAGGGGTAATTTTTTTTTTTTTGTTTTTTGTTTCGGAATTTGAG